CTTTCTTTCTTTCTTTCTTTCTTTCTTTCTTTCTTTCTTTCTTTCTTCCTTCCTTCCTTCCTTCCTTCCTTCCTTTCTTCCTTCCTTCCTTCCTTTCTTTTTTTGGTTTTTCGAGACAGGGTTTCTCTGTAGCTTTGGAGCCTGTCCTGGAGCTCACTATGTAGACCAGGCTGGTCTCAAACTCACAGAAATTCGCCCGCCTCTGCCTCCTGAGTGCTGAGATTAAAGACGTGTGCCACTGTCTAGAGAATAATGGAAATTGATGCAGAGACACACTGCTAAACATTAGGCAGAGGAACTCGGGAAAGAAGGTGAGGAGAGGCTGTAGGAGGCAGAGGGGACAAGCACACTACAAGAAAACCCACAGAATCAACCAACCAGAGCCCACAGGGCCTCACAGAGACTGAACTGGCAATCAGGGAGCCTGCCTGGGTCTGACCTAGGCCCTCTGCATACATGTTATCGTACATATATGTTATCATGTAGCTTGGTCTTTCTGTGGGACTCCTAACAGTGGGAGCAGGGGCAGTGTCTGACTCTTTTGCCAGCTTTTGGGAGCCCTTTCCTCCCGGTTGGTCGCCTCATCCAGCCTTAATACAAGGGCAGGTGCCTAGTCTCATTGTAACTTAATATGCCTTGTTCGGTTGATATCCTTGGGAGGCCTGCCCTTTCCTGAAGGGCAATGAAGGAAGAGTGGATGGCGGGGTGGGGGTAACTGTGGTGGGGATGTAATCTATGAGGGGGGAGAAAAGGAGGTGGGGGGTTTCTGACACAGCGTAGTTCAGGGTCAGACAAGAGCTTCCTTCACAAGTTGGCTCTGACTTCAGCACTCTGGATCTTTTCCCAAAGTAAGACAATTGTGCTGGTTTCGGTAACTCCCCACCCTGTGAGACTTTGGAAACCCCCAGAGCTGGGATCGTCAGCATCTGTACTGATAAGTGTGTCCGGAGACGACTCCTGAGCTTATCTGGGCCAAAGGGAGCCTTCCCACACTTTACAGATAGGGAGCCAGGACCGCAAATGCGAGGATAATTTGTTTCTCTCTGCATGCGGTCTTTCTCTCACGGTGATGTCCAGTTGTCTTCCAGGGTCACTGACTTCAGAGTGCGGCTATAGAATTGTCACTTTGATTCTCCCGGGTGGAGGAGGAGGTGGTGGATGATGGGGCCTCTGTTCTCCCATCTCCTCTTCTTCCCCCATTGTTCTCATCCCTGACATCCTCCCCGTCTCGTTCCCTTCATCCTCCTCCTTCACCTTTTCCCAGAGTTTTGTTATGCAGCCCACTAAGTATATCAACTAAATAAAACTCAGCAAATGTCTAAACTGGCTCCAAACTTCCAGTTCTCCTGCCTTGTGTGGATTTATCGACGCGTGCCACCAGAGCCTACTCCAGTTGCTTTCCTTGAGATTACAGCACACATTTAATTTCCAAGAAACTGTCTTCCAAGTACTCAAGACTGAATAATCAAGTGTCTGTCGATTGTCCCTGCAATCTACACTGGAAAGCACCTGAAATGGGTCCACTGAATAGTTACTGTTTTTGTCCTAACTCAATCCCAGGGATGGTTTTCCTCTAGACGCCATCATGCTAAGTAGACAGCAGAAGTGCTTTATGGCAACTCTCTTTGCTTTTCTTCTTTCCGGTCCACATAGTAAATAACAAGATGATCGATAATACGACTTGGCAGGCTCTGGTGAAAGGAACAGTTAATTTATCCACCACTGCTTTTGAATCACTGCTGTAAATTTCAACGCAGTAGAAAAGGCAAATCATCTCCTGGCATTATTAGGGGAAAAAAGTGATTTCATGATTTCATGGGTGCCCCCAACGAGCCCGAGGAATCTCTAGGGGCTCAGTGATCATCTTGTGAGAAGTTCTGCTTTATATTTAGAAAATACTTTCTGCTATTTTTAACTCTGCGTGTACGTGTGTGTATGTGTTTTGTGTATGTGTGTGTGTGTGTGTGTGTGTGTGTGTGTGTGTGTGTACATGAATGCAGGTGCCCATGGAGGCCAGAGGTGTTGGATTGCCTGGAGCTGGAGTTGCAGACAACTGTAAGCTGACTGATGTGGCTGCTGGGAATTGAACCCGGGACCTCTGGAACAACAGTCAGTGCTCTTATCCACTGAGCCATCTCTCCAGCCCTCTCCTGCTCTAGATTTATGTGCTAGAAAAATACCTTTCGTTCTCTAAGGCATTGGTAACTAGGCTTTTATTACTCATTTGTTTTTTTTTTTAAATCAAAGTTGGACTTTATTAACATACATTTTCAGCACCGATTTGAAGCACAAGGATTAAGAGAAAGAGAGGCCACTGGAAAGAAAGTAGGACTCACGAGAGACCATCGGGGTGGGCTTCTCAGAGGAGAACTGCGGTGACATGACTAGGAGTTAGGCTTTTAGTCAAAAAGCTCGCGTCTCTAATTTAGCAGATTTATCATAACGTCACCAGCTGGGCAGAAGTAGTCGCTCTTCAATTTGCAGTTATGCACTCAAACATTTTGTTGTTCAGACAAGGTCTCTGGTAGCTCACGCTGGACTCAAGCTGACTGTGCTGGAGAGTTTAACTTGACACAAGCTAAAGTCCTCTGAGAGGAGGGATCCTCAGTTAGGAAAATGCTTCCATTAGCTGGAGTTGTAGGCGGGCCTATAGGACATTTTCTTAATTTGGGATCGGTGGGGAAGGCCCATCCTGTTGTGGGTGATGCCATCCCTGGGCTGGTGGCCCTGGGGTCTATAAGAAAGCAAACTGAGCAAGCCGCAAGCAGCAAGCAGCACCCTCCACGGCCTCTGCATCAGATCCTGCCTCCAGGTTCTTGCCCTGTTTGAGTTTCTGTCCTGACTTCCTTTGATGATGAGCAGAAATGTGAAGTGAAAACCAATAAACCCTTTCCTCCCCAGCTTGCTTTTTGATCATGGTGTCTCTTGGCAACCACAGAAACCCTATCTAAGATCTGGACTAAGTATCGGAAAATGATCTTGAACTCCCGATCCTCCTGCCTCTGCCTCCCAAGTGCTGAGGTTATAGACATATGCCCCCAAATCTGGCAATTAACTTTATAGTATAAGAAGTTTTGAAACAATCCCATTTTTAACTTCTGAAACACTTATTACTGATCGCAGATAAGGACTGAAAATCATGACAATGGCCAACATTAAGTTTCTGCTAAATACACACAGAAACTTCACATGTACTAGAGTAAATTGTACAGTAGAACAGAGACCATTTGTGAGAGAATCTTATTTAATGTCAAGGAAACATGAGATAAAGTTATGTACTCGTGGTGAGTAATCCCAGCTATGTCAGATGAAACAGAACCACTGCTTTTATTTTGCTTTATCCACACGTAACATCTCTTTTAAAAACATGTCTTATGAGGGTTGAAAAGATGACTCAGCAGTCAAGAGCATTTTCTGTTTTTGCAGAGGACCTGGCTTTCCCGGCACTCACACGGCAGCTCACAAGTGTCTGTAGTTCCAGTTCTAGGGCATCCAATGTCCTCTTCTGATGTCTAGGGCACCAGGCTCACACATGGTGCACATATATACACACGCAGGCAAAACACTCAAATGCATAAAACAAGAGTACACACATCCTTTCAAAAGGCCTCATAGTCTTAGCTTCTTCGCCTTGTACTCAAAAGCGGGGTAGCGTGGCCTTCTCAGAGCGTTCTGCTTGAAGACCAGGACAACACACTCTTTTGTACCTTAACTCCCTTGTTCCCAACTGTTGCAAACACAGTAGCTATCAGTTTGGTCCATATCTACAGATAGCGAGGGAGAGCACAGTAACCTCTGAGTCCGTTCAGACTGTGCGCACTGTGCGGCTGGAACCCGGGCAAGTAAGTCGCCTGATGATTCTGAGTCTGATGATCTTAGGTGTCCTTTAACTACGGCAGAAGGTAAAGCACCCAGCACAATGCTAGGGACATGAAGGTGCTTCATGAAGGCAACATTTGCCTTTGGGTTGGTACCTAAAGAACTGGTGTAGATTTTAGAAGTCTGTTTTCTTTATTAATGTTCTAATTTCAGCCCCTTTCAATTCTTCTTTAACGGCCGGGGGCTTATGCTCCAGCTTCAGTAGTAAGGTCCTTTGGAACTGACATCATTCTGAGTGTCTTTCTTCCTGTTCCATCACCTCTTCTTTCCCCCACGCTCAGAACCGTTTAAACGGAGGACCGAGTATGGTGTTATGCAGGTATGGGATGTCCCAGTGAAATTTATCGCTAGCTAACACAATCCACAAAAGCAATGCACTCTGCAACTTTCTGATTTTACGCGAGTTTATCTTTCTTTCCATCCTGTGGAACATTTGTTAAGTGATGTTACTTCATATGTTGGCCATGTTCTCGAGCACACACAAGCTTGTTTAGGCGCCAGCAGGGTGAGAATGGCACGGGAAAGTTGGGGGTAGTTTCTGTATTGTGTTCTCCATGAATGTACGTTAGGTTAAAGAATATGACCGCTGTAGGCAGCACTGACAATGTTTTCTCTGTTTCAGCCTTTTCGGTCTGACATGGCAGAAAACCCAATGGACATGTCAACACAAATACCGAGCAACGAAGACACAGTTAAGTTCATCTTTCAAATATAACTATTCGTTGTGTATTTCAATAAGGAGTTTCAAAATATTGATTATAAGTCAGGTCTGGCCAGCAAAGGAGGCTTGGTCTCTGTGGAAAAGAATCAACCTTTCTACTGGTTAGATTTAAATGCAAACAACGGTTTAAATGATTGTTAACACGTTTCTTGACTCTGTTGTTCTTTTTCTTGGGCAAAAACATTATTCTCATTTCAAAGCAAAGGAGACTAAATCCAAGATTAAAACCTCCCTAGAGGTGTTATGAGTTGTTTTTTTTTTTTTTTATCATCACTGTGGCAAAGTCCTTCATGGAGGAAGCGGTGTAGAGACTCACTCACTGTCCTCTGCAAAGTATGGTCCCCACACCCCCTGCACCGCTCCTCCCCAGGTGGGAAAGCTAAGAAAGGGTAGGAGGCCCTGTTACAGCGATACAGTGCGTGATCTGCCTCTCTGACTGCTACTGACAGAGGCCACAGGGTCCCTAAGACCAGGGGATTCCAGCCAACCAGTCTCCTGCCATAGGGATAGCTGGGAAAGATTTTCTCCCACGCTGTAGTTTGTTTCTTCACTGTCAATCACTTCCTTTGCTGTGCAGGAGACATCTGATTTATGGCGGTCCTGCCTATCAGTCTGTCTCCCACAGATCCGGGACTCTCAGACTCAGTTCCCCAGAGTAGTTGCATGAAAGGACTTGCAATGATTCTTTCTGGATCCTCCCAGCCGGCTTTCTGAGCTGCTGGTCTTAACCAGTCTTAAAGGGACACATTCCTCTTTTATTTTGTGCGGCACAGACCAGCTTCCCACTGCAAGAAGTTCTCAGTGCGTTCTGTATCATCAGATGTTTTCCACTAGGGGCAAACAGGTCTCAAGGCTGATGCCTGCTGAGTCAGTATAATATTGCTGGGGGTCCCCAGTGACAAACAAACCCAGACTCATTGACTCCTAGAGAAGCAAGTTCGGGTTCTTCTCAAGTTAATTCCCCATTATGCCGCTGTAAGCATGATTTTGGAGAACACACAACTTTTTGTTTTGTTTTGTTTTTCGAGACAGGGTTTCTCTGTGTAACAGTCCTGGTTGTCCTGGAACTCGCTTTGTAGACCAGGCTGGCCTTGAACTCACTCCCAAGTGCTGGGATTAAAGGCCTGCACCACCACCACGGCCCAGGCACACGATTTCTTGAGAGCCAGATTTCTCTGGGGATTGCACTGCCACTGTCTGCTGAAAATGCATTTGAGCCCAGCACCACTTCCGTGCTGGGTCTGCTTAGATTCTCTCTCCTCTCTGTGGTGTGGCTGTATAATCAGTTCTGGGGAGTTCACTGTTCTACTGTCTAAAGTCTCTTGAGTTTCCCCAAGCTTGTCTGAACCTTTTGGCTGTTCTCTGGTTGTTTTGGTTTCACCTGCTGGAGAAACTGGTGAGTGTTCTAGTTCGCCATCTTGGATCTGTCTAATGTCCTTTTGCTTTTCTTCAGGGTCTGTTATTATGCAACCCTTTGGTTTTGTTTATTTAAGTCTTCTCTGCATTTTTCTTAGTTTAGACAAAACACCTACTAGATAAATAAACTAAAACATTTTTAAGTTCTTTGTCAGACATTTCTTCAATATCATTTTTGTTGGGAACTGTTGCTAGAGAATTACCATGTTCTTTTGAAAACTTAAAAAAATAGTTTATTTTTGTTTATTTTGAGACAGGGTTTCTCTGTGTAACAGTCCTGGCTGTCCTGGAACCCACTCTGTAGACCAGGCTGGTCCAAACTCACAGAAATCTGCCTGCCTCTACATCCCTAAAGGAGTTTTCTACCACCGCCTGGCCATAATTCTATTCTCTTCTCTTCTCTTCTCTTCTCTTCTCTTCTCTTCTCTTCTCTTCTCTTCTCTTCTCTTCTCTTCTCTTCTCTTCTCTCCTCTCCTCTCCTCTCCTCTCCTCTCCTCTCCTCTCCTCTCCTCTCCTTTCTTCCCTTCCCTTCTTCCCCTTCCCTCCTCTCCTCTCCTTTCTTCTTCCCTTCATCAGTTGTCTTGACCACACTTAAAAGTGTCCCAGTAAAGGGCTTCCTCCTGAAGATGTATCTTGGCATTTCAATCTGGTGCATGTCTTGGCTTTGATTCCAACTGGACATGCCCATTTCTCTGCATCATCCGCGGCTGTAGTTAATGGCTTTGGGGACAGTGCGTGCTGCTATAGATTTGAAGAGAAAGTGTTGCTGAGGGTCATGATGGGTGGGGACATTCTAACTGTTCATGCAGCTGTCATGCACACAGCTCTGAGTGTACAGTACCCTCTCTTTGGCCAGTCTGACAATGGTAGCAGTGGCACTTTTGAGTTGAGTTCTGCCAACGGGACGGGCACCAGAAGCTCCTGCAGAAGCAAAGGGCTGGAAGCAACCGCCCTCAGTCCCAGCAGTGCCACGGGCACCCACAAAGCTGCCTGTGGAAGGAGACACCAGTCGTCAAGTTCAGTAATCATGCTGTATTGTGGCCACTGTGTCAGCACTGAGGGACAAGCCAAGCTAGGCTTGTTTTGAACCTGAAGTTCATGTCACTTGAACTGTCTAGAAGGCAGGACAGGATATATCCAAAAATGGCAGGTTGTTTTTCCCATGGGCCTCACTGATGGGCCCAGGGCAGGTCCAGATCTCTCGACAGTCATCACCCTGTGATCAGGCACTGTAGGATTCTCCCCAGGTTTTGGTGTGCATGTGTGCACACATGTGTGCCCCTGTATACATGTGTATGTGTGTGTACATTCTTGTCTATCCCAATCTTCTAAGTCAGTCAGTGGATCTCAACCAACATAATACTACGACCCTTTAACACAGTTCCTCATGTTGTGGTGACCCCCAACCATAAAGTTATTTTCATTGCCAGGCAGTGGTGGTGCACACCTTTAATCTCAGCACTTGGGAGGCAGAGGCAGAGGCAGAGGCAGGAGGATCTCAGTGAGTTCGAGGCCAGCCTAGTCTACAGAGTGAGTTCCGGACAGCCAGGACTGCTACACAGAGAAACCCTGTCTCAAAAAAATTAAAAAAAAAATAGCAACCCTATTTTCATTGCTAGTGCATAGCTGTAATTTTCTACTGTTATGAATCATAATGTAAATATCTGATATGCAAGATATGATATGTGATCCCAAATGGGTCACGACCTGCAGGTTGAGAACCAGTGTCAAGTTCACAGCCTCCCAGCCATGAATGCTGTATTTTATTATCTCGCCCGGAGCCCACAGTTCGTCAACCCTGCACACCACTGGAGCGCAGTCGAGGTTCATGCTGCTGTGGGCTGCCTAGTGTTCACAGTGACAGATTAGCAGGCCAATAGCCTGCAGGACAGATCTCTGGCCCTTCCACTGAGTCAGAGGTCCCATCAGCGGGCGCTGGCTCAAGATCGGATTGTGATAGTTGACCCAGTGTTAGCTTTTACCCGCCTGGCACTGGACTTTACATGAAGTCTTGTGTTTACCATCTTGTCAGCTTTCTTTCCTCCTTCTTTCCTTCCTTCCTTCCTTCCTTCCTTCCTTCCTTCCTTCCTTCCTTCCTTCCTTCCT